TGTCTGATAAGGATAATTTGAGTGCGTTGATTAAAAATTAAAAAAATAATTAAAATATTATTTAAAAAATACCATATAAATTCATTTTAAATTTTATTGAGGTAAAAAATAAAATAAAATAACATAATACAAACCATTAATTTGGGGCCACCAATAAATATAAAATTGAAGAAAAATTTATATCCACAACCTTATTTTTATATATATTGTGGTAGTGGCCATTCAAACTCATAATACTCAAATAATAAAAAATAAATTATTATTTTATTTTTTAAATCTTTTTGGCTCTATTGGCTTCATTTATATACAGAATTAATAGCAAAATTGAATTGGTGATCCGAGCAATTTGAATGGAATTCACACCTTATATTTTTTTACGTTCAATTTAATTGTGGGATTTTTTTTTAACTACTATTCATGTTACATTAATAATTAAAATCGATATCAAATATTTACCAGTCCCAATATATCACTATTCTTTTTGTTACATACATCAAGTATTCTTAATCTTTATGATTATCACAAAAATAGTACTGGGTTGTTATTCTATTCTCGTGTTTATAAACAATTGACAAAAAAAAAATTCCGTTTTAAAAAATTCAACCCAACCCAAATAGAAAAAAATCTAACCCATAGATAGTCTGGGTTGGGTTTGTCTAATTCTGGGATTATTTTGAACCTTTATAAATTTAAATTCAATAAATCGATTTTTTTCTGAAAATTAGGTACAAAATTAAAATTTTAAAGATTTAATAAATCCTTTTACAAATGGATTATAAATAATTGAAAAAATAATAATAAAAAAATGTTAATATAAACTTTATAATTATAAACAAAATGTCAAGCTTTATCTTTAATTTCACATCTTTTTTGAACAAATAATAATAATAATATATTAATTTCCACTTTTTTATTTTCAAAAAAATTTTAAAAAAAATATTAATATATTTAAACTTTTTAAAAAAACTTCAAAACCAAATTCAATGTTTTAATAAATTTTCTTTTTTATAAAAGTAAAAAATGTGTGTATATATTTTTTTATTTTTTATTTTTAAATAAAGAGTATGAAAAATAAAATTACTAATGTTGTGTATAAATGTACTAAGATAATAATATTAAAATGAAAAAAAAAAAAAAAACAATAAAATAAAATAGTAAAGATAAGGCGTATTTTTCAAGAGAGGTTTACATTATTAAATGATAATATAATATGGACGATTTGTTATTAATGTAATGTTTGTCCCTATTATAACATTCTTTTTCATGTAAATAGTTAGTGGCCCATATGATCATATCTTATATAAAATTTATAATATATGGTTTTATTTCTTTTTCCCCATACCTACCTCACATTATTCATCAAATCTGAGTTGCATGTCCATGACCAAACCAAGCTAGGTTCGGAAGCCCTTCAGCCCAAAACAGAAATGACCTATAACATCTCAAGCTCACCGTTAGCAGATATTGTTTCTTTGAACTTTTCTTTTCGGTCTTCCCCTCAAGATTTTTAAAACGTGTTTGCTAGGTGAAGTTTCTACACCCTTATAAAAAATGTTTCATTCTCCTCCCCAACCGATGTGGGATTTCACAAATCACCCCCTTCGGAGCCAGAATCCTTGCTGGCACACCGCCTTATGTCCACCTTTCTTTGGGACTTAGTTTCCTCATTGACACATTGTCTGGTGTCTGGCACTGATACTAACTGTAATAACCTTAGAAAAAAAAAACAACCAACGTTTTGTTTTCCCCCTCGTTCTCTCTATGTTACTCACACTTTTCTCATGTAGGAGTGTTCTTAAAAGGTAGCTGAAGATAGTTCGTGAGTTGTGGGTATCAGGGGAGTGTGGAATGCCTTCTCAGCGCGTTGCTCGAGAATTTTGATGCCTCATCGAAATTCTCGGGGTTATGGACAACTCAATTTTTTTTTTTTAACGGTTGTTACATTGTATACCTCTAAAAGAAACTTTCGTCCCTGAAAAGTTTTTTTATAAGGGTGTGAAAACCTTTTCCTAGCAAATGAGACTCAAAAAGAACAATATTTACTAGTGGTTGGCTTGGGCTGTTACACGACCCATTTTGCCATTAAACACGTGTACCCCGCAGGTGCTCGTTGACCCATCAAGGCTCTAGACCTAGTAAGTAGCCCAAGTTTCTTGGCCTATCGATGGACATAGCAACCCATATGAACCTAGCTTCATGCCCTAGCCTAGCTCACTATCACATCCAACCCATAACCCAACACAACCCATGCGTCCAATTGATCTATGCCTCCAACTGACCTAACACGTGCATGGCTCGACCCACACCTTCTCCCTTGCCTATGGCTCGCCATCGGCTTAGCCAACCGACTCCCTCTAGCGTGTGGCTTCAACTTCGCTTAATGACTTTCTTCGGCTCCAGCTCAACTTAAGCGGCTTATTCGACTTGGGTTCGAGTTTTTAGACAACTTCTTACCATTTTGAATTGCTTTGGAGCTGTTGTTATCGTTATTTAGGTCGTTTGAGATCCGTATGTCTATTGTTTAGCTGATTTAAATGATTTTGAGCTAAAAGTTTGAATAATACACATGGTTGGGTGAATTAAGTCTTTTAATTTATCCTAGCACGTATCGGTTGGGTGAATTAAGTTTGAATAATTAAGTCTTTTAATTTAAGTTACCCATTTATATGTCATTTTCTAATGTTATGCTATGCTTATTGGTGTTTGCTAAGATTACGTGATGATATGAGTATTGTATGATGCATGTATTTCCAATATGTTATGTCACGTATGTGAATATACCATGTTCATATTATGTCTATGAAACATCTTTGAGCCATGATGATAGTGAATGTAATGTCATGTATACTTACGCATGTCTCACACGAGAGTTATATTATGAAAATAATGAAAGTATTATGTGCATTATAATCATATACTATGTTTTTGAACTATAGGATCTCATGCATGTTATATGCCACGAGCATGACATACTTCCCTAGTATATTTTGTACAAACACATACACCATAATACGATACACGCTCCTTTCCTTTTGTTGGTTTCTGAAAGCATGATTATGCACTAGCCCGTAATCAGACATAGGAGGTATGCGAGTCTGCCTAATGGGTTCATGTGTGTAGAAAAGTACTACACATCTAGTCCTACTTGAAAGAGAAATTAGATCCCAAGAAACAATCACGTACTTGAAAGAGAAATTAGATCCCAAGAAACAATCACGATAAGTCCCATCATGAACCATGGGACTATGTAATGGCCTAGATCTATCACTAGCAGATATTGTCCTCTTTAGGCTTTCCTTTTCGGGCTACCTCTCAAGGCTTTAAAACGCGTCTGCTAGGGGAAGGTTTCCACACCCTTATAAACGGTATTTTGTTCTCCTACCCAACCAATGTGGGACATCACAATCCATCCCCTTTCGGGGCCCAACGTCCTTGCTGACACTCTTTCCTTTCTCCAATTGATGTGAGATCCCTACCAAATCCACCTCTCTATAGGGCCTAGTGTCCTTACTGACATACAACCTCGTGTCTATCCCCTTTGGGGAATAGCCTTCTCGCTGGCACATAGTCCGAAGTTTGATGATTATACACTTAATAGCACATAATGACAACCTTATTTTTGAATGAAAAAACAACGTCGCTACTTTTAACCTAAAATTATATTCTATACGTCAACTTAAATCTTAAATTATTATATTCATAATAAAAATAAAATTTAGAGTGGTCCCAAGTTATACATAAAGTGAATAAATCCCTTTTCTTTCCTTTTCTTCATCATTTCCTTTATTTATTTATTTATTTTAAATTTCAATCAATTTTATTTTATTTGGTTTGGGGAAAAGCCCAAAATTTAGTTCAATTATTTTTTCAACTTGAAGTCGATCACAGCCGTCCATTCTTTTCCACCATTCAGATGGAAGACTGTTGCCTGGGTCCCACCTCTGGTTAATTAATTAATTATTATTATTATTTGGAAATACATTAATTTTTCAAATATATTTAAATATTTGAAGGCTATTTTATTTAAAAAAAAATAAAAAATAAAAAATTACGTGATATAATAAATAATGAAAGTGAACGCTCTTTTCACAGATGCTAACATGTTTATGGGAGGTTTTGGTTTCTTCATAGAAAGCGATTTATTAAAATAAAAAATATATATTTTCGTATAAAATATTTTAAAGAATATAATAAATTTAAAGAATATAAAAATAAATGCTATTTTAAATATTTAATTTCACAATTGTCTAAATTTCGGAGTGAGCGGGCTTCTAGATGTGAGATTTCGTTAGTGATTATTTCAGGTCCGTGACTTGTCACATGAGTTTGAATTTCATATTTCCGTATGTGTAAAGAAGTATAAATATCTTTATATATCAGACGCTCGCTAATTAGTACTGCATCTTTAGAATTGTAACCTTCCCATGGCATATAAGCTACTAATACGTTTTTTTCCGTACGTGGCTTGTCACATGAGTTTATCTTATTTTTACCGTATCTAAAATAATTAAATTCATTAATTAATTATTAAACTAAAACAAAATAAATAATAATAAAAAATATTTTAAACCATTTTACATTATCTAAAAATACATTAAAACTTTTAAAATTTTCAATAATACCTTAATTTTAATTTTTTTAAAAGTAAAACAAACTCTTATTTTTTAATTATTTTAAAAGTACTTTAAAAAAAATTTATAGTTAGAAATAATTAAGTTTTTTAATAATGTTATTTTAAAAATAAATGAATATTGATTAAGAGATGAATGGTTGGGATATTAGATCGGAATTTTTATGGTGTAATGAACGGAGGGGAAAAAACCGTCGTAGCCGACACGCCATTCTTGGGGAGCAGCTGGTCGGATTCTCTTGTAAACAATCTTCACAATTTCTGCCCCCGACTACCCCGCGGGCAGCGGGCAGAGGGCAGCATATTTGCCAATGGGTCGGCTGCATCGGAATGGGGGCCTCCACACGCAACATTCTCTAATGGATTCCTTTTCAATTCGTTCATTTTTTTTGTTTCTTTTATATGACTCAAAAACAGAGCAATTGAATTCATTTCCTTCGAGCTGCAGCCACACAAGGAGAAGAGCAACAAAGAACGGAAGAGAGGAGCGTTTTTCTTTTATCCTCTCTTTTGGAATCTGCCCGCTCACCATTTTAATCCAAGAAGGATCAATTCGATCGATAAATTCTTGTTGGGTTTCATTTTCCCTGTTTTGGAATGCGGGTAGATTTGGATTTAGCATAGTTTTCAATATATATGTATCTATATATTGATTTGTTGGCTCTATCTTCCTCAGTTTGTGGATCATTATTGTAATCCTAACCTTCTGTTGAAGAACAAGACGAACAACAAGAACAACAAAAAGGGGAAAATCGAGAGAAAACAGGGGATTTTCTTGATGGGTTTCTTGGTTGATTTTAGAGAGGGTAGTGGAAGGGATGGACTGAGTTCAAGGATTGGTTTCAAAGCGTTGATAAGGAGGAAACAGGTTGATTCTGCTCACTCATCATCATCTTCTTCATCATCATCAAGGCAACATCAGTTAGCCAGAGAGCTATCGATTTCTCATCTTATTTCAATAGGTACCCATGTTCTAATTTGTCGATGTTTTTCATTTTGTTCTTGTTTTAGAAGAACCCATGTCCTTTGATTCGTAGAAGTTTTTATTGGATCTCTGAGTTTTTCATGTTGGTTTCTCTTATGTTGAAGATCAACATAGTTTCTGATTGATATTTGAATTTGTGTAGGAGTTGGTGCTACTATTGGGGCTGGAGTGTATATTCTTGTTGGAACTGTTGCTAGAGAGCATTCAGGACCATCCCTTGCTATCTCCTTCCTTATTGCTGGAATAGCTGCAGCGCTTTCTGCATTTTGCTATGCGGAGCTTTCAAGTCGTTGCCCATCTGCTGGAAGTGCTTATCACTATGCATACATATGTGTTGGAGAAGGGTAATTTTATGTGGCTTTACTTTGATGTGTTGGAGAAGGGTAATTTCAGGATTTGTGAAATCCCACATCGGTTGGGGAGGAGAACGAATCTCCCTTTATAAGGGTGTGAAAACCTCTCCTAGCTGCGTCTTAAAAACCTTGAGGGGAAGCTCGAAAGGGGTGGGCTTGGGCCGTTACAAATGGTATAAGAGCCAGACATCGAGTGATGTGCTAGCGAGGAGTCTGTTCTCCGAAGGGGTAGACACAAGGCGGTTGCTAGTAAGGACGCTGGGTGTCGAAGGGGGTTGATTTGGTAAGGTCCCACATTGATTGGAGAAAGGAACGAGTGCCAGTGAGGACGTGGACCCTGAAGGGAGTGGATTGTGAGATCCCACATCGGTTGAGGAGGAGAACGAAACACCCTTTATAAGAGTGTGGAAACCTCTCCCTAGCAAACGCGTTTTAAAAATCTTGAGGGGAAGCCGAAAGAAAAAGCCCAAAGAGGACAATATCTGCTAGCGGTGGGCTTGGGCCGTTACGGAATTTCTTTTAGTTTTTAGTTATGGTTATGTTCTTCATCTTCACATCATAATTCACGAACTGCTTGTATTCAGTGTTGCTTGGTTGGTTGGTTGGGCTTTGATTCTGGAATATACACTTGGTGGCTCAGCTGTTGCACGTGGAATATCTCCAAATTTGGTACTGCAAATTTCTTTCAACTTATAACACAATTATTGCAATGATTTACAGAAAACTTTTGATCTCTGAAGCCAACATAGCTCTTATGATATCTTTTCATGTTTCCAGGCCTTAATGTTCGGTGGCAACGATCGGTTGCCTTCGTTTCTAGCTCGACAAACTCTACCTGGACTTGATATTGTTGTTGATCCATGTGCAGCAATTTTAGTTTTGATTGTCACTGCACTTTTATGCAAGGGGATCAAGGAGGTATGCTAGTAATTTTGTGCAACGACCCTTCCTATCTGGTAGAAAAGAATCTCATGATCCTGAACCGATATTATCTGGGATCGCAAATCCCAAGTTTATCTATGAAGAGCCGATCTAATTATATTAGTCCTTATAATTTTCTTGCAGAGTATTGCAGCACAAGCCATTGTGACAGCAGCAAATATATGTGCAATGATGTTTGTCATTGTAGCTGGCTCTTATCTCGGTTTCAAGACAGGATGGGTTGGCTATAGACTTCCTACAGGGTACTTCATCCATTTCACTGTGTTTTGTTACACTATGAGTTAATTGTGCTACCTATGATGAACATTTGTAAATGTCAACTCTGCAATATAACAGGTATTTCCCCTATGGAGTAGATGGGATGCTTGCTGGGTCTGCTACCGTTTTCTTCGCTTATATTGGTTTCGATGCTGTGGCGAGTACTGCTGAAGAGGTAAAATTTTATGCCAGCATCTGTTATCTCAGAAACTTCTTAAAGTAGTGTTAAAGACAATGCAAAGTTCCTGTCTGTGTTTTCTGAAGTCAATAGTAGATCTTATGAAGAATAGGGTCTTTATTTGTGAAATCTCACGTCGGTTGGAGAGGAGAACGAAACATTCTTTATAAGGATGTGGAAACCTCTTCCTAGCAGACGCGTTTTAAAATCTTGAGGGGAAGCTTGGAAGGAAAAGTCCAAAGAGTACAATATTTGTTAGCGGTGGGCTTAGACTGTTACAAATGGTATCAGAGCCAGACTCTAGGCGATGTGCTAGTGAGGAGGCTAAGTCCCAAAGAGGGGTGGACACGAGGCGGTGTGCCAGCAAGTACACTGGGTCCCGAAGGGGGTGGATTGAGGGCCCCACATTGATTGGAGAGAAAACGAGTACCTGCGAGGACGTTGGGCCCCAAATGGGGGGTGGATTGTGAGATCCCACATTGATTGGAGAGGAGGACGAAACATTCTTTACAATGGTGTGGAAACTTCTTCCTAGCAGACACGTTTTAAAACTTTGAGGGGAAACCTAGAAGAGAAAGCCTAAAGAAGACAATATCTATCAGCGGTGGCTTGGGCTGTTATATCGCTGTTCTTGTTTCCCTCTTATTTATCTCGTTAATTCATACAAAAAAGAAACTCAACTTGTTAATCTAAACCAACAACATATTGGAATGGAATATGGACAAAGATTTTATGAGATCCCAGATCGGTTGGAGAGGAAAACGAAGCATTCCTTATAAGGGTGTGAAAACCTCTCCCTAGTATACTCGTTTTTAAACCATGAGGCTGACTGCGATACGTAATGGGCCAAAGAGGACAATATCTACTAGCGGTGGCCTTGATCTGTTACAAATGATATCAGAGCCAGGTACTAGGTGGTGTGATAGCGAGGACGCTGGGTCCCCCAAGGGGGATGAACTTTGTGAGATCCCACATCGGTTGGAGAAGGGAATAAAGCATGCCTTATAAAGGTGTGGAAACCTCTCTTTAGTAGAAGCGTTTTAAAACCGTGAGGTTGACGGCGATACGTAATAGGTCAAAGCAGACAATATCTACTAGTAAATGTTTGGTTTGTATTAAAAGAACTAATTTAATTTGAGCATACATGAATCTTTGTCAACATTGACTTACTATGAGAAGTTTGAACAGGTGAAAAATCCTCAACGAGATTTGCCAGTGGGGATAGCCTCTTCATTATCTCTTTGCTGTGCACTATATATGTTGGTCTCGATTGTCATTGTTGGTCTGGTGCCTTATTATGAGATGGATCCTGACACCCCCATCTCCTCTGCCTTTGCTCAGAATGGGATGCAATGGGCAGCGTAAGTGTGTAGCACTTTTATGCTTTAAATTTTGATTATCTCAGCTGATGATATCATCTTTCTGCTCCAGTTATGTGGTGAGTGCTGGAGCTGTTACTGCGCTGTGCTCAACATTGCTGGGTTCTATTCTCCCTCAGGTATTGATATGAACTCTTTGAGCTATCTCTCATTTAAGCTTTGTTCTGCCACCAAAAAGCACTGACTTTGATCCATGTTCTTCATTTTCCAGCCACGAATCTTGATGGCAATGGCAAGAGATGGGTTGCTGCCCTCTTTTTTCTCGGATGTTAGTAAAAATACTCAAGTTCCTGTTAAGAGCACCATAGCAAGTGGTGTTGGTGCTGCAATCTTGGCCTTTTTCATGGATGTTTCAGAATTAGCAGGGATGGTAAGGCGACTCTTATCTTGTTTTTGTATGTTATGGTTGCATCTTGTTGTTGTGTACGCTCCTGAGCTACGTACATTTTCACGATCTTGAGATCTCATTAATTGTAATGACTCAAGCCCACCGCTAGCTAGATATTGTTCTCTTTGGGCTTTCCCTAAAGGTTTTTAAAACACGTTTGCTAGAAAGAAGTTTCCATACCCTCATAAAAATGTTTTGTTCTCTTCCCCAACCTATGTGGGATCTCACAATCCACTCCCCTTCGGGGTCCAGCATCTTTGCTAACACTTGTTCCCTTCTTCAATCGGTGTGGGATCCCTCAATCCACCCCCTTTGGAGTCAGTGTCTTTGCTAGCACACCGCCTCGTGTCCACCCCCTTTGAGGCTCAGCCTCCTCACTGACACATCACTTGGTGTCTGGCTCTGATACCATTTGTAACGGTCCAAACCCACCGCTAGCAAATATTGTCCTCTTCGAACTTCCCCTTTCGGGCTTCCCCTCAAGATTTTTAAAACACATCTTCTAGGGAGAAGTTTCCGCACCTTTATAAAGAATGCTTCGTTCTCCTCCCCAACCGATGTGAGATCTCACAATCCACCATTTTTCGAGGTCTAGCATCCTCGCTGGCACTTGTTCCTGTCTCCAATCAATGTGGGAACCCCCAATCCACCCCCTTCAGGGCCCAGTGTCCTTGCTGGTACACCGCCTCGTGTTCTCCCTCCTTCAGGGCTCAGACTCCTCGCTGACACATTGTCCAGTGTCTCGCTCTGATACCATTCGAACAGCCCAAGCACCACTAGCAGATATTGTTCTCTTCGGACTTTCCCTTTTGGACTACCCCTCAAGGTTTTTTAAATACATCTATTAGTGAGAGATTTCCACACCCTTATAAAGATTGTTTCATTCTCCTCCCCAACCGACATAGAATCTCACATTAATGCTGTTTCCATTTCATAGAGCCTAGTTGTCTTCCTATTTCTGTCGACTCTGGATCGTGGAAGAACAAAACCACTTGAGTTATTGATTATATTTATATGGGAAAACTAATTCGACAACGTTTAAACTGTGTGCAGGTCAGTGTTGGTACCCTTCTTGCATTTACCACAGTGGCTGTATCAGTGTTGATTCTCAGATACATTCCACCCAATGAGGTGCCATTGCCATTATCTCTTCAAGAGCCATTTAATCCACTGTCCCTACCATGTCATATGAGTGCTGATGATATTCATGAGAAAAATTCGGAGATCAATTCTACAAAGGACAGTGCTAAACCCTTGCTTGATAAAGTGGATTCATCAATTGACATCCCCACAATTGGCAGCTATCTCACTCGATATGGCTGTAAGTTTCATGCTTGCTCTTCATAATGAGCTTCTTCGTTACTGCCAGCATTGTAACCATGTGTTCTTATTTGCTCATTTGTTTGATCGTTGCAGGCATTCTAAATGAGAAGAGACGACGGAAAATTGCCGGATGGTCCATCTCGTCAACATGCGTTGGGGCACTAATCCTAACGTATGCGGCTTCAAATTTGAGCCTTCCAAGGTTGGTTGTTATATTACTGGCTTGGCTTCTATTTGTGACGTAGATTCCTGTTTGTTCTATCTCCGTTGGTACGAGGCCTTTTAGGGAAACTAAAAATAATGTCATGAGAGCTTGTGCTCAAGGTGGACACTGATACTATTGTGGAGGTTCGTGATTCTTAAAATGTTCCGTCTACAAATCTATTAGGGTTGTTCATAGAGATTCAAATTCATAAAGGGAGAAAAACTAGACTATTAATCTCTCGACCCAACAAATCAGATATTCTTTACTGGGTTTGAGAAAAAGTCCTAAAGGGAAAGCCTGTGAGATCCCACATCAGTTGGGGAGGAGAACGAAACATTCTTTATAAGGGTGTGAAACCTCTCTTTAGTAGACACATTTTAAAAACCTTGAGAAAAAGTCTTGAAGGGAAAGCTTGTGAGATCCCACATCCCTATTATGAGATCCCACATCGGTTGGGGAGAAGAACGAAACATTATTTATAAGGGTGTGAAACCTCTCTTTAGCCGACACATTTTAAAAACCTTGAGAAAAAGTCCTAAAGGGAAAGCCTGTGAGATCCCACATCGGTTGGGGAGAAGAACGAAACATTCTTTATAAGGGTGTGAAACCTCTCTTTAGCAGACGCGTTCTAAAAACCTTGAGGAAAAGTCTGAAAGGGAAAACCTGTGAGATCTCACATCCCTTACTGTGAGATCTCACATCAGTTGGGGAGGAAAACGAAACATTCTTTATAAGGGTGTGAAACCTCTCTTTAGCAAACGTGTTCTAAAAACCTTGAGGAAAAGTCTGAAAGGGAAAGCCTGTGAGATCCAACATCTGTTGTGGAGGAAAACGAAGCATTTTTTATAAGGGTGTGAAACCTCTCTTTAGCAGATGCGTTCTAGAAATCTTGAGGAAAAGTCTGAAAGGGAAAGCCTGTGAGATCCCACATTGGTTGTAAAGGAAAATGAAACATTCTTTATAGCATGTGGAAACCTCTCTCTAGCATACATGTTTTAAAAACCTTGAGGAAAAGTCCAAAAGGGGAAAGCCTGTGAGATCCCTCATCCCTCAAGAGTGTGGAAACCTCTCTTTAGCAGACTCGTTTTAAAAACCTTGAGGGGACCCCCGAAAGGAAAAGTTCAAAGAGGACAATATCTGCAAGCGGTAAGCTTGGGCTGTTATACCTACTCAAAGATTATGATATCCTAAAAAACGAGGCGGTTAAGATTCAAGTTCCTGTCATGTTTTTTTTTCCTCAGTGGACTAACTAGTAGAATTATGTATGTTTTAGTGTTTCTTGCTTGTCTTGTAATTATATTTTGCCCAATGTGTTTGTTCCATCAGCTATGTGCGGTATTCAGTTTGCGGAATAGGCGTTATGCTTCTTTTATCTGCTTTGGTTGTGCTTTCGTGCATAGACCAAGATGATGCAAGGCACAACTTTGGGCACGCAGGAGGTGAGACATTACTCCTTTGCTCTTGTATCCTATTTTGTCTTTAGCATTTTACTTTTTCTTAGCCGAATACTGCTCGGGTTCATACACATAGTATTAACTTAATATTCGAGTTCGGTAACTAACTAGCTCGAAAAAAATCCTCTTTGGATCACCTATCCTCGATAGAATTGCTAACTGAACTCGTGTTTTCTATACATGGTTAACTGATTCCAATGAAAGTGTGAGATCTCACATCGATTGGAGAGGGGAACGAGTGTTAGCAAGGACGCTGGGCCCTGAATGGGGTGGATTGTGAGATCCCACATTGATTGGAGAGGGGAATGAGTGTCAGCGAGGACGTTGGGCCCTGAATGGGGGTGGATTGTGAGATCCCACATCGATTAGAGAGGGGAATGAGTGTCAGCGGGACGCTGGGCCTGAAGAGGGGTGGATTTTGAGATCCCACCTCGGTTCGTATAGCGAATGAAACATTATTTATAAGGGTGTGGAAACCTCTTCCTAGCAGACGTCCTTTCAAAATTTTGAGGGGAAAACCCAAAAAGTACACTGATCTATTGCATTTTCTTTTGTTAGGTTTCACCTGTCCGTTTGTTCCTCTACTGCCAATTGTGTGTATCCTCATCAACATGTACTTGCTCATCAATCTCGGGTAACCAACGTTTCATCTTTAAGCTCATGTGTATCGATATCCAGTGTACGTTGTGTGGTTTCGAAACCATATTCCTTTTGCTCGTTCGTTCCTAACTAATGATCCCTTTCATACCCTTTTAGAGTCAATACATGGGCTCGGGTGTCAGTATGGCTAGCAATTGGAGTGATCGTTTACGCAGTCTACGGTCGAACCCACAGCTGTCTACACGATGTAATCTACGTACCAGCGGGGCATGCCGAGAAAGTAAACAAGTACTCAAGGGAGGTGCTGGCTTGATGGATGAGGTTTGGTTGGAAGCCATCAAGAGAGAATTCATTTATAAGGGATCTATTGATGATTTGGTTAGGATATTGTTGTTTTCATCCATGGAGACTAAGTTGTCTCCTTGTATTATAGGGTTGGTTATAGAATTTCCTTAGCTTGTTTTATTGTTGGGAGGAGGTTCAAACAAATAATGTAAATATGAACAACATTTCATTGTTCTTCCTATAGATATAGTTGTAAATAATATCGGATATCTATTCCAAATTTATATTTCAGTTATCGTGTCAGTAAACAAGTTACCATTCTCATGAAAATAAAGGGTAAATTTCACAGATTGAAACATGGTCGTAATAGGGCAGTATAAACCGTTTGCATGGGCTCGCTGCGCACTTGTATGGTCTGGAGAAGCTTACTAGTCTTATAGTTTAGGTGCTTTATTCGTTTTTTGTTTTTTGCTTGTTGTTTTATCTGGTTTAATAATACTGCTTATTCGAGTGAGTTGTACAGGCCGATTGGACCTAAGCTTTTCAAGCTCAAGCATTTACGTTTCTAGTTAGAGACCAACGGTTTGAAGCTAACATTGGATCTGCTCAAGGACCTACTGGTTTAGGTAAATATCTAAGGCGTTCTTTGATCGGAGAAGTCATTTTTGGGGGAGAGACTACATTTTTGGGATTTGCGTGCTCCTTGGTTAGAACCACTAAATTTTTTGGGCTTTGAAGTATGGATCATGAGATGACTCCACTATGATTGTAGTTCTTAAACGCTCCCCTCAACCAGTAATCAATAATCACTTGAAGCATAATAGTAGAATATGATGAGGATAAAATTACTTAGTAAGCAACCTATTTATTGGCTCTCGCGCATTCTTGTCCTAGTAAGGTTCAACTGACTTTTCTCTCGACTCTAGAAAATTTAGGTTTAAGTTTTATAGGTATCTGAGCTTTTAGGGATGTCTTGAAATTTCGAGCAGTTCTCGTCTGTTATAAACCCCTAAGAGTATGGAGGTTGTTCACCTTTCTTGGTGTCGTGGATCTACTAGACGGCGTAACTTAGTGATAATGCAATCTAACCCTCAACGATCCAAGCTTTTGTTGAAGGAAGGACCCTTAAATCAAAGAAATTAACCTCTTCTTATACAAATTTCGGATCAATCAAAAGATAATGCTAGAATTAGATTACCTCTTAAGATCAAAGATCTAGAAAAAATATTTGAAACCTTGTTCCAAAGAGTCACTTAACAATTGAACCGGATAGAGGCTTGATTGAATGGCTGGGATGAAACCTAATACAAGAATTTCATGAAACTTAGAAATGACAAAGATAATGCTAAAATTTCTAAAAGTGAAAATCTTGAGAGCTCAATTTCATTTATAAAAAATATGGTTTTTACGTGTTAATTTGTGGGTATTTACCGTCTGCCCATAAAAGAAACTCTCAACTCTTCAAATGCCCACTACTAAAAGAAATTAGTTGCTATGATTAACAAGTTCTTCCCGCTATCTTTCAAATGGCCACTATAACAAGTTATGGCGGGTAAGTTACTCTCCACTTCAACCTTACAAATGTTCACCTCCGAAGCACCAAATGGCCCTTCCTCTATCAAGTCAACTTGTAACACATGAAATGGAGGTTGAACCGAGCGTATCTAATTTTGTAGATGAAAAACAAATGCTTGTTGAATCTTCTCTGCCTTGGATTATGTAATAGGTTCAGTTGTAACATTTGAAACACCATGATCATCCCTTATCCCTCGGGAAACGTTTTTTTTTTGTTAGACTTTTCTAGGTTTATATTGACTTGAAAGTGAATGATCAGTATCTTAGCTTGAGGCGCAATCTCTTTATATCATAGGACAATATGGTGTCTCTCTCTAAATATCTCTATGAAAGGTTAATGACAACTCTACCATAGGAACCACTATAGAGCTGAAAGGTCTGGGGGACCCATGCGCCGACCAACTACTAAGCTTACCTCTGTGGTCCTTAACCCCCTCTTAGAATGGGTCTACAATACAGTTACCTGGTTCAGGGGTCTAGATTATTTCCACACAAGATAAAGGCACTCATCATGAGCAAAACTACCTAGGTCCCTCGTTCCCCTCTATGGTATCGTGACCTTGGCTCTTGACCCATTTCTACACACAATTTTAATTTTTCAAGTAGCCTTGACATGCCTACCTATTTTACCTTGGTCAAGTTCGACAATACAAGTTCCCGATTACCTACTAGGTCCAACCTAGTCTTCGAATAATATTACTGAGGTACTAAAGGGAATAGGAAATAGCCTTGCAGTGGATACCATTCGCACTATTAGTAGGCCTGATAAGCTTTGATGTCATGGAGGTTAACTAACTTCTTAAGGAATCTAATCAATTTAAAACTCGGATCTCATCTCCAATATTCACTTGACTAGCTCCCGGGGCTAACTTAGTCCGAAAGCATTAGGGTTTAAATCTTTAATTGTCACTCAAGATCTTGGAGTGCTCGATAATACAAATGATTATATGAACTTAAGAACTCTTTTACATATTATACAGGTAAGCTCATCAAGAAGATACATCCATCAATCTCTTGAAGCATATATGAAAACCTCCTAAAATAGTATCGGCATAAGGAAAATATCTCAAACGACAAGCAATTCAAAAATATCATACTAAGGGCATTTAAGTAATTCACCACAACATACATAACATACTTAACTAATCTGCTCATCTAATGTCCTAATCATGCATAATCGAACCACCTATGATAGGTTATATATGCATGCTAGCACATCCTAGTGATCTCTACAAGTATTGTTTAAGGAAAGCCGGAATGGTTACTTACATAGTCGTGTGTGTTCTGCATGTGCTCGTTTCTAGCTTGTAAGGTGCTCCAAATTCTTAAAAATTTTCTATGCTTGAACCTAATTCAAGTTATAATAGGTTTAATATTGAAATCAAAGTGGAAGGTCGAAACAAGCGAAAACATGCTTACCATGTGGTCTCATTGTAGAGTGATCGTTTGTCCCGAGTATAAGTCCTAGCTAGAATTGCAATTACCCTCGATTTACTAGCATGACACGTGTTCCACTCCTTGTATCAGAATCCCGCATTCGAATCTAGTAGAAGGTTTATGCATTTGTTTTTGGTGAATTTTTATGGTGGTGACACGTGGCACTTTATGCACGGGTAAGTTCGAAGTAACGTATTTTCCTAGCGTTTTATGACACGTCCACACGTGTTCTTCACCACCCCATGAACGCATGTTCGATTCGTTCCCAATGTGTCTGTACACCTAATTTTAATGTTTGATTATATAAGATATTCCTACTAAGAAGAAGTCACTCAACCTTATCTATATAATATAGACGTGAATATGATCTTCAGCATGTTAATCACATATTATTTAAGAGGAATAATATTAAATTGTAAATAAAATAATCAAAATATACTATTGTAATAGCTCGGTAGCAAATATTGTTGTTTTTGTGCTTCCTTTTAAGGTTTTAAAACAGGTCTGGTAGGAGATGTTTTTACACCCTTATAAAGAATGATTCGTTCTACTCTTCAACAGATGTGGGATCTCACAATCCCAACTAGTACTACTCTCACCCAAGCATGCTTAAGTGCAGAGTTTTGATGGGATCCGGTGCATTAGTTTTGATGGGATTGTGGGATTGTGAGATCCCACATGAATTGGAGAGAGAACCGAAACAATATTTATAAACGTGTGGAAACTTTTTCCTACCAGACGCGTTTTAAAAACTTTGAGTAGAAACTTGAAAGATCAAAGAGAACAATATCTGATAATAGAAGAATACACTAATAATAATGCAAGGTCATCCAGAAGTGTAACAAGCGTTAGAACTAATTTGATTTATACAACATCGATGAGCTGCTTATGCACCAATAGAAAAAGAAGAAAGAGGCTTTCTTTTCTCACTACCTTCTAGGTTGTCTTGTCTGGTTCAATCCGTTCTTCTTCTGTCCAATCAAATATCCTGGTCGAGCTGACTTGGTTATATAGATAGTATCTCTTTATTCTTTGTGATATTGACTGCATTAGATTAGAATGTTGCACGTTGTCTTGCTTGTGCCTCTCTCTAGCGCGTCTTGCTGGATAAGGAGTTGATGAAGAACCAGAAGGCCTCTCTCTAAGGCAGCGGCTGAACATGCTGAGGGGAGAAGGAAGCGAACAATTTATGCCTTTGATCGAAACAAATAAACTCTGGGCAGGGGCTAGCTAAAGAAGGTCAGTCGGACTTGGTTAGGACCCTTGATCCGGTTCAGCTAGGTTCTTCCATCCTGGCGAAAGAAGCAATCCATAGAAAGATTTGGCGCCACTCACTAAATGCGGGAAAAACTAGTGATGATTGCCATGAATGCAAACGGTCGAAGCCAAAAAGTTCGTGATTTGTGGCTGGGTCGAGATGTGGTAGGGAAATTGAAGCGACCCTCATCCACATAAGCACAAAATGTTTTCCCAAGCAAATCATTCTTCATCGCATAAACCCATTACAAGTCATTTCCAAATTCTTCTTTCGGAAGAGCACGAAAAAGGCCTATAGAAAAACGGTATAAGAAACCCGAGAATAAACCCTACACCGCCCATTATGGCATTTAAATGAGGGAAAATAAACCGTTGAAACCCTATAAAAAAACAGTCTTCAAAAAAGGATTGAAACCCCCACCAAGTTAATATGATTCTTGTGTCTTGAATTGGTAAACACTATTTAAAGAAAGCAATAGAAGAAGATGCAAAACATAACATCAATGGCATCAACAAATTGTGAAGTGTTCTTGAGAGCATGTGTTGTTCTTCTTCTAGGCTTTCACTTTTTCATATGCCAAACAAATGCAACAAAAATGGTAGGGATCCATGAAGATCGAGCGGTTTCGATGAAGGGACAAATGGTCAATTTTGTGATGTATCCGAAAGGTATACCTATTCCTCCATCAGGGCATAATAGAAGGACGTCTGCGGACAAGTATACTCCGCCACCACCTCCTTCATTTGGCTCACATAATCCACCACGCCTTCCATGGGATGGACCTTGTCACCGCCCTAATCCGCCACGTTATTGCATCTTATTACGACCACCGCCCCGCTTCTCACTTTAGAGCTCTTATCATTGTTGTTGCATCTACTACATCCTTTTATGTATGTCATGAAAATAAATATTTTTCTTACCTACAGGGGTATCGCTATGTTCTAATTTTATAACTTACATTGAAATAATATTTTTTTAAACGTGTTAAAAGAATATAATAGCAATTATATTTCGATCTATG